GTTCCTCTTCCTTTGTATTTCCATACTTGAAAGCTCAGCCTCAGTTGCCCTTTCTGTTATCTACATCTGTTCTGTTGTACACAGGGAGTTGTAATAAGAGACGGTAAATATTGGTTGTTGTCAGCGTGCTAGAGAGGACAGATCTCTTAAGTTTCTGGTTTGTATGACTAATGTAATGGTAACAGTCCGAACTGTAAGATTCTGGCTCATTTGTTTCTCTAAACATTTTCTGGTTCAACATAATTTAATACCTCACCTTCTAATCTACATTCCCAATAGTGTCTTGGTATAAAATGTAATCAAAATCAGAATAGAAAGTGAGTAATTATATGTATACACACATATATATGTAAAGCATACTTATATTTTAATATAATCAATTAAATTACTATACAAACATTTGAAATTACTGTAGTTTATATTTGCAGTTGGTTGATCCCCCCTTTTTTTATTATTATTAATTTTAATGAAAGTTTACAGAGACTTTGGATTTCCACTCATTCATTGTTGAACTTTTATCCCTGCCCACACCTCCCCCTCAGTTCACTCTTTGAAAAGTAAAAGACAAATTCTTTCTTTGTTATACAATCCCTGCCCCCAAATCCCCTCCACTATGCAACCTTCATTCTGAACTCATGTCATGACAATAATATGTAATCATATATCCCTTTTAAAGAGTTCTCCCCCTCACCTGTTTATGCAGTATACATAATTTATCCCCTCTTTCTCGGTCTCCTCCCAACCCCGATGTCAGTCCTGTTTTACAACAGTGGCAGTATGCAGTATTTATCCTTTCAAGACTGAGATATTTCACTCCGCATAATGTCCTCCAGGGTCACTCATTTTGTGTAATATTTTATTAGTTCTTTGTGTTTCGAAGCAGCATAGTATTCCATTGTATGACTATACCACAGCTTCTCTATCCATTTGTTTGTTGATGGGCACTTAGATCGTTTCCAACTCTTTGCTATTGTGAACAAAGTTGCGAGAAACATGGGTGTGCATATAT